CGACGTTTTTTGAAGTACTTAGCTTTTAGGGCGGATGGTGTTTATCCACCAAGGGGTTCGTCCCATATTACTCTTTTAAATCAATTTGGGTTTAGAGATTTACATTGCAGACGGACTATTGCATCGTTGAATTTTTTAAAAAAGTTGGTTCATTTTCATATTGATTGTCCGGATCTTTTGAGTCGATTATATTTGCTTGTCCCCAGATTGTCATCTCGTTCTCATGATTGCTTCTATTTGCCTACTCCTCGCTTAAACGTTGTAAAACACTCACCTATATACAAGATGTGTACTTTATACAATTCGGAACAGAATGCATTTGATATATTTAAATAAATAGGTTTTTTCTTTGTATATGTAGCTACATTCAGTCTGTTTAACTTTGCCTTCGTGGGTTCAGCTGTTGGTTATATATTTTGCTAAGGTGGTCAGTAATTGGGCTATTGCCTGTTGACCATCACTGACATAATAATAATAATAATAATAAAACATCTGCAAGATTTCAAAGCATTCGGTTTCGCATATTCAAAATTAAATTGTAGGTGAAACGAAGTTCACGGGGTCAGCTAGTACGTAGAATAAAATAATAGTAGAATAAAATTATTGTATTCCCAAATTTTCGGGAAAATGAATTGGGTCGTTTTGAATATTGATTTTTTCTAATCAATAAAATAACGAAACAATTTACTCACGTATACGGCAACTGAAAATCGTTTATGTATAAACATTCTTAATTTAAGATGACAAGCGTAACAGAATACGTGAGAGTCAAACAGAGAAACTGTAAACAAAACGACCATCGGTTTTATTGCTTCGACTTCCGCTTATTATATAAAACATTGGGTTTTATTTTAATTCTTGACGGTGAAATTCACAATTGGTTGATTATAAACATGTCTATTTCACATTCGCGGAACCAAGTGAACGCATAAAACAAATGCAGGTCTGTAATGTTAAAGTCGATGTAAATAAGCGTGCTACCCTTATGTTTCAACCGAGTTTTTCCTTTAACAAATTTTGTGTCTACCAAATTGGGTTGGTTGGGGTGTAATACTAATAATAAGTGTTGCCTTTAATTTAATCAATAAAATAAATTGACTTCATTAATTTTTTTGAACCACCTCTTAAGAAAATCTAAAAAATATGAATGGAATGATAAATCACAAGTACAAACTCATCATATTTTTTGCATTTTAGATAGGATTTATTCAGCAAAATTTAAGGGTGACGTCATCAATTTTTAGGAGGGATGAACAAATACATTTTGAACAAAAGTTTACCATGCTTATAATAACTTTAAAATATTCCCAAGATTTCAAAGCATTCGGTTTTGTAATTCCTGATTAAATCGATAAAATAAATTCACGCCTTCATTAATTTTTTTGAGTCACCCTGCATATGCAAATCCAAAAATATGAATGGAATGATAAATCACAAGTACAGACTCATCATATTTTGTACATTTTAGATACGATTTATTCGGCAAACTTTTGAGCTGACGTCATCAGTTTTTTGTAGAAGATAACCAAATATATTTTGACTAAAAATTTATTATGCTCTTTATAACCTTAAAACATCTGCAAGATTTCAAAGCATTCGGTTTTGTAGTTCCTGATTAAATCAATAAAATAAATTTACGCATTCATTTATTTTCTTGAATCACCCTGTATATGCAAATCCAAAAAATATGAATGGAGTGATAGATCACAAGTACAGACTGATCATATTTTGTACATTTTAGATGTGATTTATTCGGCAAATTTTCGAGCTGACGTCATCAAGTTTTTGGAGGGGATAAGCAAATATATTTTGACTAAACATTTATTATGCTCTTTATAACCTTAAAACATCTGCAAGATGTCAGAGCATTCCGTTTTGTAGTTCCTGATTAAATCAATAAAATATATTTACGCATTCATTAATTTTTTTGAGTCAGCCTGTATATGCAAATCCAAAAAATATGAATGGAGTGATAAATTACAAGTACAGACTCATCATATTTTTACAGTTTGGATAAGATTTATTCGACAAACTTTCGAGCTGACGTCATCAATTTTTTGGAGGGGATAAGCAAATATATTTTGACTAAACATTTATTATGCTCTTTATAACCTTAAAACATCTGCAACATTTCAAAGCATTCTGGTTAGCAGATTAAAAATTAAATTAAAAAATGTTGTTTTATAATTTTGATTTTTTTTCCAAAAATCTGGACGTTTCGGGTGAAAAGTCGATTCAGAGTTGTAAACTACATGTGTAGGACTATGTTATTTTATACAATTGAAAACCCATTTACTATGTACAATTTTGAAGTGACGTCATCGCATTAGTGGTGGGGATGATTAGACAAATTTTGGTTAGCGTTTTACCATCTACATGATATTCTTAATCGAGAAAACGTAAAAGTAGAGAGTCGGCCGACGGACTCGATTACAATACTTCCTTTGCTTACGCTCGGGAAGTAAAAATGCAGTCGACCTACCTATCGACAGGTTTCTCCAATATTTTCTCTCAGGTCATTCACACATAACATAGGGTCTCCATACACTTTATCCTTTACCATCCCCCTTCAGGAAGGCCAACTATTAACTGATTCTCTACCCATCCATCTATTTCTTGTGTACCTTCTATCCAAATCTTTCTCATTATGCGTGAGCAGCATGTTAAAACCACATTAACTTCTATCAAATTTAAAGGGGCTTCGTCTAACAAATGGGGGTTAAATAGTTTACTAAAACGTTCAAATGCATTCCACCATTTAAATTTCCACTAAAAAATAGGGTCCCATAATATTATTTTCTGTGATACCACACCACCGAATAAATATTTTGGAAATGCTTTTGGCTAATCCAGTAAAGGTTTTCCTGAGAGTAATAATGACAGTTCTCTCAGTTTACTCCTCCATTGTTGCTAAATTTGGTTTCATCATTGAAAAATACTAAAAGAAAATTGATCTTCATTAGTCTGATGACGAATAAAATTACAAAAAAGTTCTAATGTTTTTGCATAATCGGTTTCTTTTAGTTATTGTACCTACTAACATTGTCTGGTATAGATAACATTTCTCACTAGTACTAGTGTGAGTAGCTCGGTACAGAAACACTTTTATAATGTCTCTTGAGTATTTGATATGCAAACGAAAAGTACACCAGACAATGTTAGAAGAACCGAAAGGGTCGTAGTAAAGTGTAGTATTTATAGAAACAATATTTTTAGTTACATTACAACAGTCCTGTATTGTCAATATAATATTATATAGGTACAATTGTCGTTTTTCTTTTTCTTTTTTCATTCTAATTAATGTGTGTTTTTTTATATACAGGTATGATTGTACCAAGGCGTAAACTCGCTCGACGCTATCCAGAAGAGTTTAAGGCAGATCACCCTTTCGTTCATTTTATTTGCGATAAACGTACAAATTCACTTTTTGTAGGTCGTCTATGTAATCCCAGCATATAATACGTAAAGTTTTTCTTCTCATTTTTGTTTGATGTATACAGACAGAATAAAGAAATGGAGATTTTGTTTTACACGTAGTTTTATTGAATCCTTCTTCCTTCTTGTATGACAATAATTAAATACAACTTCATTCTTTGTAAAAACTAAGATTTTAATAATTCAGATTGGCGTAATTAATGGTAAACAATCTACACCACCATTCTAATTGATTACGTCTTTAGTGTCCTCAATCAAAGCAGTGTTTTTTTTTTAAGAAATGAATACCTTCTTATAGACTAGCTGGACAATTCTTTCATCTTCTCGGCTAGCACTCAGACAGTCAGTTCATCTAATATACAGAAAAATTAAAGGAAAATATAAATAAAGAAAATTAGAAACGGAAGCAGCATTGGACTAGATATACCCATTCATTGATCAATTCTTACGAGTATAAAATTATCACTGGAGGATTTTGTATTCCCAACAAGTACCTACGTATGTCGTATAAGTCTTCAAACGTTTTTTGTAAGGATGAAATTAGAGAAGGCGTTTTACTTTATTTTGGAATTCTTTACTGCTGGTAAGGAGGAGCCTTAAGTACCACTAGAGATTCTTCCTTCGGAGCGCATATACTAAACTTCTAGTTACGAACAACTGTGGTTTGGTATATCTCATGCTCCAAATTGCGAATTCGTCAATTTATTTGTGTACCGACCAGGGGACCCTGGACAACCTGTTTTTCGTTTCTCATTGACACTACAACTCATTCTTCATTTTCAGTAAAAAAAAACATTTTTGAATTTCTAAAATCTGTCCTCACTCCTCAATAATAATCATTTAAAAACTTGAAACATTTCTCACAGGGTTCGCATCGGTGCTAGATAAATCACCGGAACATCCTAGCAACCATATACAGTCAGGGCCTGAAAATGTTGTACGTCATTTTTTTGTTATTTTGAATATTATGCTGTGGTATATGTGTTATTGTCATTTTGATATTAAAAGTTTAAAAGATTTGTCACGTTGCATCCACTGTCAGCACGCCCGTAGTACGTAGTGTCAAAAATGACAAAACTAGGAAAATGAAATTACAATAGGTACTTAAATTATGTTTAACCCTTTGTGACAGATTGATAAGTGATAACACTGACGTTGACGATTTTCTGGACCCCACTGTGTATCCTGAATTTGGTGGCATGTGAAATTTTTCAGCGTGACACAACCACCTAAATTTAAATACATAAATGAACTTTTTGCCATCATGGAATCGTCCTTCGCAGTTTATTCTAGGCAAAAGTCCCAATTTTATAAGTAAATTTTAATCAAAGAAATGAAAATTATTTCCATAGACTAACTTAATTTGAAAACTTTATTTTCATAACCTGTTAGTTTTGATACAACTTAATTTCACTGAAAAAGGTCAGCGAACATGAAATCAATAATGTGTTTTGTTGGTTATCTATACACCACGTAGCAGAAATATATTCTAACGGAAGCTTTAATGCGGCTTTCAAAAACTCGCAGTATTGCTCACAGCCAGTTGTTGAGTGTCTGAACAAAAAACGTCGCGTAGTTAGTAGTGGTGCTTACTGTACTCTTCATACCGTGCCACAATATTTTAATATTTTACTGAACATGGTTTAGCAATTATTCCATTACAAAAAATTCAAGATTAACAAAAACAGTTCACTCGGTATCTCAACGTCGGCGCGTGCATTATTCACGTTAGTATCGGGCCAGCTACTGGTATATTTTGTTTTAAGGTGAATTTAAATATTCCTTGTGGGTTACAGTTTTTCTTGGAATAGTATTTGGTGAGCTTTTTTTATTGTCAACAATGGCTAAAAGAAATCCAGAACTCGAAGTCCTGGAAAGCAATAGACAGTTTACAACTGATCTCTACAACGTTTTAGCTAAAGCACCAGGAAATGTCATCTTTTCCCCTATTAGCGTGCATGCTGTTCTTTCAATGTCCTACCAAGGTGCCAAGGGTACAACTGCTGAAAAGTTTGCTTCCACACTGAAAGTGCCTACAGCTGCAGTTGCTGCAGAAGGTTACAGCATCGTTATGAACCGCCTTAATTCTGTTCCAAATGTTACACTTCTGATGGCTAATAAAATGTATCTGATGGAGGGCTATCAACTCGTGCCAGGATTCAGCAACGCCGTCACTAAGAATTTCTTATCTGAAGTACAGTTACTTAATTTTGCTGAAAATGAGGCAGCTGCTGCAAGTATTAATGCCTGGGTTGAAGAAAAAACAAAAGAGAAAATCAAGGATTTAATTAACAAAGACGATTTAGATAAAAGCACGCGTTTAATACTTGTAAACGCCATCTACTTCAAGGGCAGTTGGCTAGATCCATTTAGCAAGTATTCCACTAAAACTGAACCTTTTTACCTTAATAATGTCGATTCGGTAAAAGTACCAATGATGAATAAGTGCGCGGATTTCTATTATAAAGCAGATAAAAATTTGGATGTCCAAATCTTAGAACTTCCTTATACTAACGAGAATCCAAGTATGATCATTATTTTACCTAACATGAGGAACGGACTTGATAAGCTGGAAAAAAAGCTGGCCACTTGTAACTTAAGGGAGACAACACAACATATGGAGAAGACAGAAGTTTTCGTACGGTTACCTAAATTCAAAATTGAGCAAACCATCAATTTAAATGATCCTTTAACTAAGGTAGGTATGTCTTTTAAAAATATGTATTAGTTTCTAAAGGGGGTGCATACGAGTTACTGCAGATTTTATTTCTTAAGCAACGGTTTCCTTTTACTGATTTCGCTATACGGCACAGTTAAAGAAGCAAGTGGGTTCCAAAATTTTCTAATTTTTTTCGCCATGAAATGTCCACATTATTTCCTATAAGCTACAGTATTGATTCTTTTTGTCAAAAAATTGGTCTAAGTTTATTTAGACAGAACTTCCCTCGTCCATGGAATACAGTATCCACATCTCCAGCTTTTTCGAAAAATTATAAAATTTGATTTTTTGAAATTTATTTTGTCATGATAACCTCTATAAGTTAAAATAAAGATATCTGTAGTGTCAAAGTAAAGATAAAAGACATGTTATACGTTTGTTTCAAGTGAGAATTTTCCATTACAAAACTTTATAACTGCGATGTAATAAGTACTAATAATGACAGTACTGTACCTATGCTTAAATTTTCTAGAAAATAGGATACTCGTTCTTGATGGATGGAATGTATCACATGTTAAATCTACTATTAAGAAAACGGATAATATGGAATGGACAGACCACAATGCACTGTTCTCTACTACACAGTCAATATCCCAAAACAACAAACATAAGACAAAATCTGAAATGCCCGTTATCAAATAATTCCTTAATTGCATTTTTTTACTGTTTAGCTTGGACTTGGTGAAATTTTTGATCCACGTAAAGCTAATTTTAAAGATTTGGTTACGTCAAATGGCAAGCTATACGTGAGTCAAGTTGTACAGAAAGTTTTTATTGAAGTAAATGAAGAAGGGGCGGAAGCAGCAGCTGCCACTCGTGAGTTTTTTTTTTTTTTAATGTTACTGGTTTGACTGGTTTATTTACATTTTATAATTTATGTTGTGCAACTTTGTTTGTATTTTTGCTCGTTTTGTAGATATATATAACATACCTATATTCATAAACATATAAAATGGATGCACAAGGTACAATTATTATTAAAGTAAAGGTTTACTTCTTTATTCCTTATGCCTTTTTAAACGTCTGTGCTGTCCTTGTTAGTTTTTCTGGATGCATTCTTATGATATGGCTTTTACTAGCTTCATTTTCTTTCAATATAGGTTCTTACTATACTATTTTCCTTATCATTTCGTTTGATATTCTATCCATTTCGTTTTCCTTACTACTCGTCTAAAGTATTTCATTTCCGTTGCATTAGTTTAGCTTCCATGATTTTTCGCCACTTTCATAAGGGGTTCGTTCATTAGTTTAAATTGTACCCAAACTACAATGAGAAGAAGTGTACACCTAAAGTTTTAATCTTAAGAGATGGTAAATTTTAAATTCTAACTAATTGCGGCTGTAATTACTTATTCAGTATTTTCTTTCCGAAAAAGAAATTAATCACCTTGTTGTTGGATAGGAGACAACTTGTCGGCCGGCGTTTTTCAAGCTTAAATCAATAAAGTTGCGTACAAATTCGTTTGAATGGTCTAAATCGGACACATGTTTGATACTTTATAAATAAATTAGAAAATTATATGAACTGTTTCTACTTGTTTCCTATAAACTATTGGTACACAGTAAAATAAAATAGGAAGTTTTTGATTTCGATTGAATTTCGTCTCAAACCTTTTGAACCAGATTTAATGACGTATCTTTTGTGTTAATTATGCGATTGATCTGAAATCTTCCAAAACTGTTTGTTAAGTTTAAATCTAAAAAAAAATTCTTCTAAATATTGTTACGAAATACACTCTTACGCCGCCCCGGTACGACGCCTATGACCGTCGAGAACTCTGTGGTCTTACGTCGGTGATGATTCATCTTCAATGCGACTGAGCGACGGAGCGCTAAAGAAACGCCTGGAAACGGAAGTAGCGAATGGGGATTCCGGTCTAGATGCGGTGACGTAGGATATCGAGAAGGATAGCGTACTGTTTAAATAGAGTCGACCTTTTTGGGGAACGGATTATTCAGCTAGTTGTGTCAAGAGCGTCCAGTGAAATTCGCCGGAATAATGTTTGTACATAATCGCTGCAATAGTTAGTCGTGTAAATTATAGTTACTAAGAAATAAATTGTTGAGTGCCATATTACTTCAGTGTTATTCATTTCACGAGAAAAATTATTTCCTTGCACGTTTCATATATAGCGCGTATATATCCAGTATTGTTCTTTGTTAGTAGCCATCCATTTGTACATGCTCCGAAGGAAAAATCAGCAGAGATCAGGAATATTTTATATTGTCTGAAAAACTTATAAAACCACTATTTTTTATAGAAAAATTGACTCACTGGGAAAAATAATATTTTTATTTTATTTATGTCCAAATAATAATATTCTCATTTTGTCAGATTTTACGGTAAAATCATATGTAAATCAGAGAATTTTTATATTGGAATAGATACATAATATTTCTAAAGATTGTCAACGGAAATAATTCTACAAGTCAATTTTATAAGTTTGAGGTAATGATTTTAAAAAACCGCAAAGAAAGATGTTCGTGATAACATGATAACAACGGTAAACTGCCTCAAATTCCCTTTCATTTAAAACGGCATTTCTGTTACTATAAAAATTAGCAAATATGCAATTTCAAAACGACGGAGATTACATCACGAACTGTGACGTGTCAATTCGTCAATAAAATATTTCATAATTTTAAAACTCTTATACTTGATCTCTTGATCAACTGCCAACTTTATTTAGAATTTTCACAGCCATTTGCGTCTACAATTATTTTGCAACAAATAATAATAAGATTGGTCTTGGCATTGTGTCAAAGTTTTACATTTGTACTTGACAATTAAATACTAAATAATGTCTATAACATAAAGAAATTATCTACGTCTTTTCCACTGACAACGCAACTTAATTTTTTTATTATTTCTCGTAGTAAAAGAGCCTCATAAATAAGTAACAAAGATAATCAATTGATCATATTAGTAACAATTATTATTATTGTCGGGAACTAATAGCATTCCAAATTATTATTTCAAATAATCTGAAATCCGATTAATTTTTATAGTAACAGACTTGCCACTTTTTATTTCTGGTAATATTATGCACGAGATTTTAAAATATTTTCAGATATTTACAAACGTGAGAGATGTTTTTTTCATTAAGAAACAATACAAAGTACAAAGAAACCAAGATTGACAAACACGTTGTCCCACATACGATAATTGACTAAACGAATTAAGAAAACGTGCTTTGGTACCTATGGACAATCACTTAATGTACTTTCACTAACCACTTTAGCAATGGAATACATAATTTTGGCGTAAATTTTAAATAGTTGACGTTCCCTATATTATTATTTTTCAATGAAATTTATATTGAGTTTTTTCAAATTCTCATTAAAATGTATATTTGTCTGCAACTGATTGTATTTTTTTGCACAGAAATGACGAGAGTGCCGTGCTGCGCCAGAGTTGGACCTCCTCCAAAGCAATTTATAGCAGATCACCCATTTATTTACTTTCTCTGTGAGAACAGAATTAATCCTCTTTTTGCTGGACGCCTGTCCGATCCCAGAAATATTAAATTTTCGAATAGTAAGTAATCATAATTAAATTGAAATATTATAGAGTGTAATATATTTTACAGGTAAGTTAGGTTACATCCATTATCTGTACAGTATAGGTAGGGTTGTGTCAAATACACTTCTGAACATATAGATTTGATTATAAAATAGATATAACTTCAAAGTTCAGGTTTTAAATACTGTAGGAAAATATTATGTAGCAGTTTACTTAAAGAAATTGTCAGCACTTCTCTAATGTTAAAATATTAAATTGTATTGAGTATGTATGTATTTACTAACATAATATATCGAAATTGTATGTTAACCAAACTCAGCTTGAATATGCTGCTTCATCTTAATTAAGACCATTAATACTGCGCTTATTAAATGTAAAATTAATACTGTGATGAACTTTCTAATGCCTATACATGTGGTTAATTTAGACTCAGAAAATCACTTATTAAATTGTATACTCAGTTTAATAGCATCTACATACTTAGTTAAATTTATAACCGTTCATTTTAGTATGACGTTTATTTATTTTTATAGTATATTTACTACAAAACTGTTTCAAATAAAATTATAATTATTATTATTTTTATAATGTTTTACAAATAAAAAAAGGAGTTGACTTATACGATCATTTTTTATTAAAAAATGTAAGCTCAAGTAAATTTAATGTCACAGTTAGAGTCACCGAACAAAATTATCCATTTTGATTTAGACAGACTAATGGAAGTAAGTATGTAACCATTTTAAATTACTAAATTTTTAAATTTAAATTTTCATATCTTCAGTGACTATCGGCATTAAGCTTTTTACACGTAACGTTTACAATGTTACATACATGGAGATAATACGATTTATTTATTCAACCTCCACGCTCACATAACTTATTAGTTGCAGTTAAACGCTAATTTTTGTTTTAAGTTTTGTTCATAGCAAATTGTAATTTTGTTTACTTTATTTCTGATAAAAATCAGATATTGGGTACTGAACCAGTCATTTTTTTGTGTACATTTTAACTTTCCGTGAATTTATTATTAAATATATTCAAGTAGAATTTTGCGTTTTCAGCATTAATTCCGTGAGCAAGACATTGTAAGGTAACCGTTATATATACAATAATATACATATAAAAATAATGAACACATTAATTTATGAACCAACTGTATGTAACGTTTCTTTTGTATACAATAAAATTCTATGATGGTTTGAGTCAGTTAACTTCAGAGCGGTTCATAAGGTTCATACCCACCATAAATTCGACCGATTCTTAGCTACCCATCTTCTGTGTGTGAACAGCTTAGCCAACCCCTAGTAATGACATTGTAAAATTTTATTGTATACAAATGGAACGTTTTTGCAGCCTTGTCTTGAAAAAGAAAAAGGTTTCGAAGTGGGCAAGAAGTGTTAGAAATTACAGCAGAGCAAACATAGACTATTTTCTATCGAGAATGAAAATTATCTGTTAAAATTGAAGGATAATATCAGCTTATTCCAACGATGTAACTATGTTGATAATAGTCACAGGAACACTACGGTAATTAACTAATTAGTAGGGTGCAGTGAAAGTGGTACTAGGAGCAAGCGAGGAAACCAGAAGAAGGAGCCTGAGTTACTTTAACAACAGACATGGAAGCAGTGGTTGGAAGTAATTCATTACTGTAATTCAATTCCTTTTCAAGTAATGAGTAATTGCAACGAATTACTTTTTTGAGAAATATTGAAACTATAATATTTATGTTTAGTATATATTATTAGAAATTATTAAAGAAATGAGAACACACTTTTATAAACCTCAAATGTATTATTGTGGTATAAAACTGCGTTTCTTTTTATTATTATTAAAAAAAGAACACGTATGTTTTCATTGCTAGAAAACACATAATTTTGTCAATTTTTTTTCATTTCTGTTAATTATTACTACTACTTTTTATATAAAATTTTCAGATTTTCGTTTTGTTGTTTGTTATTCACCTCGGTTTATTTTTTATAGATGAGTGAAGAGGGAAGCATTCTTCTCTCAATTCCCTAATGTGTGTACTGTGTATAGTTGAAAATAAACAACTATAGTCTTTGATTTTTGACCCGTTAGCTTTGATATAGATATCTCACCGTCTAATGATGTAATAGTCAGTGACAGTGAAATCAATAATGTGTTTTGTTGGTTGTCTATACAAGACGCATATTCTGACGGAACTTACGCCTCTGACTCTGAATAACTCGCAGTCTTGATCTTGGTCTTGCTCAATGACACAGACCGTGCAGACTGTCAGTGTTTCGTCACATCTAAATAAAAATCGTTGTGTCGGAGTGGTGCTTACTGTACTCTCAACACCGTGTCACAAAATTTTAATATTTCACTGAACGTTGTTCAGATGTTATACCGCTACAAAAAATTAAAGAATAACGATTGACAAAAACAGTTCACTTGGTATCTCAAAGTCGGCGTGTGCACAATTCATGTTAGTATCGGGCCGGCCTCTGAAATATTTTGTTTTTGTTAATTTAAATAGTTCTTGTAGGCTACAGTTTTTCTTGAAAAAGTCTTTGGTGAGTTTTTTTTATTGTCAACAATGGCTAAAACACGTCCAGAACTCGAAGTCCTGAAAGGCATTACACAGTTTACAACCGACCTTTACAAGGTTTTAGCTAAAACACCAGGAAACGTCATATTTTCCCCTATTAGCGTTCATGCTGTTCTTTCAATGTCTTACCAAGGTGCCAAGGGTACAACTGCTGAAAAGTTTGCCTCCACACTGAAAGTACCTGCAGCTGCAGCTGCTGCAGAAGGGTACAACTTTGTGATGAACCGCCTTAATTCTGTTCCGAATGTTACACTTTTGATGGCGAATAAAATCTTTCTTAAGAAGAGCTATCAACTCTTGCCAGAATTCAGCAACGCCGTTAGTGAGAATTTCCTATCTGAAGTACAATTACTTAATTTTGCTGCAAATGAGGCAGCTGCGGCAAGCATTAATGCCTGGGTTAAGGAAAAAACTAAAGACAAAATCAAGGATATAATTAACAAAGATAATTTGGATGAAAGCACACGTTTAATACTTGTAAACGCCATCTACTTCAAGGGGAATTGGGCCATTCCATTTCACAAGAATTCCACTAAAACTGCTCCATTTTACCTCATTAAAGGAGATAAAGTAAATGTACCAATGATGAATAAAGTAGTGAATCTCTATTATAAAGCAGATAAAAAGTTAGATGTCCAAATTTTAGAACTTCCTTATACTAACGAGAATCTAAGTATGATAATTATTTTACCTAACAAGAGGAATGGACTTGATAAGCTGGAAAAAAAGCTGGCTTCTTGTAAATTAATGGAGATAATGCAACAGATGTGGAAGGTGAATGTTATCGTACAGTTACCTAGATTCAAAATTGAGCAAACTATATTTTTAAATGATCCCTTAACCAAGGTAGGTATATGTCTTTTGAAAATAACTATTACTTTCTAAAGAGTTACATACCAGTTGCTGCAGATTTTATTTCTTAAGCAATAGCTGCCTCTCACTGATATCGGTATCCGACCCAAAAACGTTTTCATTTTTTCTCACCATGAAATGTCCACATTATTTCCTATAACCTACAGTAATGATTCTGTGGATTTTGTGTCCACAACATATCCAGCTTTTTCGAAAAATTATAAAATTTGATTTTTCGAAATTTATTTTATCATGATAATAAAAATAAATTAGCTACCTTAACAGGTCAAAGGCCCAATTACTAACAGATATAAACAAAATTTAAATTACAAGTTACTTGTTAACAACATCACCACATTAAGCATCAGAAAAGATTCAGTATCGAATATGTATATTAAGATATTTGCAGAACCACCAGCAAATCAGCAGTTATTAGGTACTACTACTATTCCCAGAAAGGAGAAGCTGTGACAGTTTATTTTGCACGTGTTAATCACAGTACTTTTTTCCTCTTCTAAAATGGCGCCAAACTTTTCCTTACATTTATTTATTTCCTCATGTAAATTTTCATGATATATATCGCAAATATCACTTATTATTGAGTTTGCATTATTACGGACCACATACAAAAGTGATCTTTTTATGACGTTCGTACGACACGTTGGCAGTTGAAAAATTTTAAAAGCATGCGCTGAGTACCCTCCAATGCAAACGATTGATGTGCCTAAAATGGATAACATATTAGAGAGCACTACTCTATTTTTGATCTCACAAGAGCAAAGTATAGGTATTTCAACGCATTCAAATTATTAAAACATTTACAAACTCTGATAATAAATCCTAGCATCTTAAACGCTGAGTTTACAACATTTTGGATGTGTTTTCTAAAAATCATTTTCTGGTCAAACGTAACACCCAAATCTTTGACTTTGTCTGAACGACAAATTATAATGCCATTTATGATTACGTCGTAGTGAAAAAATATAAATTCCAACTTCTTACTACTAAACGATACAACAAAACACTTTGAAATGTTTAAGACAAGACAATTTAACACACACCACTTATTGGTGTTGTCGATATCCCTTTGGAGCAATATGCTGTCCTCATGTGTATTAACTTTCCTATACATTTTTAAATCATCAGCAAATATTGAATATTCCGAATCAACAATGTCGTTAATATACAACAAAAATAGCAACATACCCAAATTGGATTCTTGTGGAACTCCAGACAAGTGAATGTAAGGTTCAGACTTATAACCATTGTATGTATGACAACCAAAAGAGCGCAGCTTAATTAAAAGTATACTGTGATCAATACGGTCAAAAGCCTTGGTTATGTCGGTGTATACAACATCCACCTGCACACCTAGACCAAGTCTGACAAGTATTGAGTAATTGCAAAAAGATTGGTGAAAGAAGATTGACCTGCCATAAGACCATGTTGCTTAAGTGTAATGTTATTTTTAAACAAAGGAAAAATATGAGCATATAATATACTTTCAAGGAGCTTTGCAAAGTCAGACAGACACGAAGTCCCTCCAAACTGACGAAATTGTTCCAGTCGATAAGCATTTGTTAAATATAAATTCCAAAGGTTCTACTAAGGTGAGCGAACAACCATTAACAAAAAAAGTTGGGATTCCATCAAGACCTGAACAGAAATTTGGTTTCAAACGTTTTATGGCTCTTATAATGTCGCCAAGAGAAATTGATGGTACATGTTTTACTGTTCTCAGCACATAAAGGACAGGAAGGTTGTTTTCTACACACCGTTGAGGAAACCATTACGAGGGACTGTAATAGTATCAAAGACTAAACACAGATCAAGCCCAATTACCTAAGACATCGCCAGATTTTAAAAGTAACTCATATGTTACAAGATCAACTGAAAGATCAGCTTAAACTTAAAAGATGTTTGCATTTGAACGAGTAGGCCAAAATCGATGTACCTAACTGAGTGGATGAAGATTGGCGTATAATGTTGGGATTTCGTTTTTTTTTTGTCAAGTATGTCAGTACACAGTCTTCAGAAATGTCCCTTGAAATACCTACAATACATAGGTACTTTAGGTCGCAGAGTATGGACTCCCTTGATGCTATAATCCCCACCAAGAGTAATAGACGCAACCTCCTTAAGCTTTTTACCACCAACTTCATCATTACAGGATCAGTCCTTCATTAGCAACAGATTTAACTTTTGCAATAGAAATCTCCTCATCGATAACCTCTATAAGTTATATAGATATGTGTAGTGTCAAAGTAAGGTAAAAAGCATGCTAATGTTATATATATTTTTCAAGTGAGAATTTTCCATGACAAAACTTTATTGTTCAGTTTACCTGAACAGGGGTTTGGACGTAGCCAATTTGTCCACCCTACTCCCACCCGTTATGTTCAGTTTACCTGAACAGGGGTTTGGGCGTAGCCAATTTGTCCACCCTACTCCCACCCGTTTTAGGGTAGTTTACCTAATTTTTATTATTTCATGCTCTCGGGGAGTCGTCGAGAAGTATCGTGAGGGTAAAGACGTGCCGACCCGAGAGACCGGCAATTTATAATTTTTGTGCGATTAAAGAAACCGTGTAACTAAAAGGTGATTTTTATTTCTCGCAAAACATTTATGAACACGTCATCAACATTTTAGCAAAGATGCATACAGGGTGGCTAGAATATATGGAAACGGAAACGGAAAATATATTGAGAACCAAGTGTACAAGTTAACTGAAATTAGATATAAGGATACAAGAAGTTGTGTTCTAATTATTCATCAGAAACAATTTTTTTACTTCATTTTTTTCGAGATGCAAGGCCAACTTGATTTTTTTTAAGGGACTACGGTACACAAGCATACTTTTTTTCTGATTGAAATGGCAAAATAAATTATTAAATAATAATTAAATAAATTAACCAATAACAACCGAAACCTAAATTAATCTTCTGTTTTCTACCAAAGATGCTCAAAATGCTCTCCATTTACTTCCTGGTAGTAAAAATGACGCTGAATAAAATTTTGTAGTGAGTTAATGAAACTTTCTGGACGAATGCTAGCATTTTCGTTATGTATGCCTTCCTGTACGTCTTTAATGTGAATCGGTCTATTGATATAAACACGATTCTTCAAATAGCCCCACAAAAAAGTCAAGCGTTGTCAAATCCGGTGACCTAGCAGACCTCTCAATAGGATCTCTTTGGACGTTCTTTAACCATTCTAGTTTCATTCAATCTTTTAGGGTTTTTGAAACCGTCGATTTAGAAATGGATTCTTGCTGAGGGTGAATTTCATTGAAAAGTATTACTACTTGAGCAAAACTTCGTCTTTCGTCACCCTAACCGATAAAGCATTAATAATTCTATGCGCTCAGTTTCACTTAGATGCACCATTTTTCCAAGAAACATCTTACATGCCAAATTAAAATTATTTTCAAAGGTAACTATGTCATCATTTTTTTTTTATTTATTCTTATTTAAAATAATTTATTTTGCCATTTCAATCAGAAAGTATGATTGATCAATGAATTTACAAAAAAAGAGCTCGATTTAAAAATTCATTAATTATATGGTAGTGCCAATTAAAAAAAATCAAGTTGGCCTTACATCTGGAAAACAACTGAAACAAAAAAAAAATGTTTGACGAATAATTAGAGCACTATTTCTTGTACCCCTATACCTAATTTCAGTTGATTTGTATAATTGGTTGTCAAGATATTTAACCGTTTAAATAGATTCTAGCAACCCTGTATATTAAACTGCGATGTAATACTAATAATAACAATACTGTGCCTATACTTAAATTTTTTAGAAAATGACATACTCGTTCTTGATAGAATGAATCACATATCTGTTACTACTACTATTAAGAAAATGGATAATATGGAGTGGTCAGACCACAATGAACAATCTTCTATTACACAATCAATATCTCAAAACAACAAAAGAAACAAAATCTAAAATATCCCTTAAAATAATTCTCTTAATAATTGCTCTTTTTACTGTTTAGCTTGGACTTGGTGAAATTTTTGATCCACATGCAGCTAATTTTGGTGGTATGATTACGTCAAATGAACAACTATTTGTGAGCCAAGCTGTACAGAAAGCTTTTATTGAAGTAAATGAAGAAGGGGCTGAAGCAGCAGCTGCCACTCGTGAGTATTTTTGTATGTTGCTGGTTTGACTATTTTATTTACTTATATGTTGAGCAGCTTATTGTTTTTGTTCGATTTGTAGCTCACTGCAGATATTTTTACACATGTACCTATTTATAGACACATAAAATGAATGCACAAGGTACAATTAAAGTAAAGGTTTACTTCTTCGTCTTGTTGTCTATTCCTTATGCCTTTCCGAACGTCAGATTTAGGGGGTATATGTCCCCTTTATCCATTTATTCCATTCCGACTCCATTTCGATCCCTTGCTAAAATATTCATTTCTTCCATCGTTTTCCCTCTCGATCTTTCTAATTGCTCTATTTGTTGCATCCAAGACTTTTTCCTTTTTCTTCTTTACCTTACTACAATTTACACAGACATCTGCGTCTAACTATTTTGCAACAAATAATAATAATATTTGTTTTGGCATTATTTACAATTCGAATATTATTTCCTAAATTTGCTTCATTTTTTACACGACGGTCTAACCGATGTAGATCTCTTTGTGCGCAGAATAATTATTAAGGAACAGTTATAAATAGTTATTTATGTTATGCAATGACTATCTTGTTGATTTTTTATTACTTATTAGTTGCAGCACTACTTTTGCTATTAACCTAAAAGTTTGTACTTTGTATGTACTTAATATATAAGATTTTTTTTATGCAGGACTACTTTGTTAGGCTGTCAAATAAACCTGTAATTTAGAACGGAGTATTACTTTACTCCATAATGTTTCTTTTTTTCTGTTTTTAGATAAAACAATCTTAAATTTCAGTGCTATCCAGAAACACTAACCTTGTATATAACAGTCATGGCTCTGTAAAGGATCATTGTTGCCTTGAGCATCAATCGTAAATAAATACAAATAATTATAACGTTATTTTATTTAATGAAAATTAAAAAATATTATTTGCTTAAGAGTTTTCGTTTCCGCTTTCTATTTTACTTTGTGGACTATTATATTAACAATAATAAACCACTTATTTGCAACTCATGGATAAACAGCGCTTGTCAAATAATGCTTCCCACATAGTCACTGCCCCTATAGACTTTGAATGGTTTAGAATAACCTATGGTATTACAAGCCTACTCGCTTCCAAATTTTCTGTTAGTGTTGGCAGATATGTGTTCAACCATTTATTTTAATATTGTTCTGACTATTATTTATTTAGATTATAAAGTTTTAACTAACTTTTTCGAAGCAGTGTACAGCGCTGTGTCGGTTAATTTAACTTTCGAAGTCTTAGCAAATTACAAATAATTATGGACACCCTGATATCGAAGCTTAATTTTTTAATTATTATTTCTCGCAGTAACATAGTCCCATAAATAAGTAACAAAAATGGTTGACTGAACAAATTAAGAAAACGTTTTTTTGTAGCTACATATTGATAATCACTTAATGTACTTTCACTAACCGCTTATGATGTTTAGCCACGGTAGCAATGGAATATATAATTTTGGAGCAAAATTTACATTGTTTGCATTCCCCTTGTTAATATTATTTTTTGAATAAAAAAAATGTTGAGCAACGATTTTGTAACGAGGTTTGATATTACTTAATTTTTTTCAATTCACTTAAAATGTCGCAGTATGTTTGTCTGCAACTAATTATTTTTTTTTGTACACAGTACTGGAGGCGACGTTTTATTGCGGCGGAAGGAGCGGTCCCCCTCCACCAAAGAAATTTATAGCAGATCACCCATTTATTTATTTTCTCTGTGAGAACAGAATTAATCCTCTTTTTGCCGGACGCCTCTCCGATCCGAGAAATTAATGTTAAATTTTGGAATAGCCAGTAATCATAATTATATAAATTGAAATATACAGTGTACTAGTATATTTTACACTTACGTTAGGTAACATCCGTTGTGCGTACAGTATAGGTAGCGTTGTGTCAAATACATTAGCCACTTCTGAACATACATCTAGACGTAACCTTTCACGTTTTAAATACTGTAGGAAATGTTAAATTGTATTTAATATGTAGATATGTATTTAGGACTAACATAATATGTATAGGTACCAAATAATAATATTAATATTAAATTAATTAAATAAAATTAAATTAATACTGTGATGACTTTTCTAATGCCTATATACCTATGTGGTATTAATTTAGACTCAGAAAACACTTATTAAATTGTATAGTCAATTTGATACCATCTACATACTTAGTTAAGCTTATAACCGCTCATTTTATTGTCACGTTTATTTTGTTTTTTTTTCCGATAGTAATTTTTGTAATTTAGTACAAAACTGTATGCTGCTTCATCTTAATTAAGATGGTTAATAAGTATTTTCTGTAATTTAGTGCAAAGCTGTTTCAAATAAAATTATAATTGTTATTATTATTATAATATTTTATAAATAAAAGGAGTTAACTTATACGATAGTTTTTTATTAAAAAATGTAAGTTTGTAAGTAAAAATAAATGTCATAGTTACAAACAAAATTATCCATTTTGATTTAGGTACACTAATGGAAGTAGGTATGTAACCATTTTAAATTACTAAATTTTTAAATATAAATTTTCATATTTTGAGTTGCAGTTGAAGCAATATTGTGCGTGTGTGTGTGTGTGTGTGTGTGTGTGTGTGTGTGTTTCTTCGAAAATTTTGCAGGGTATGCGTTAAGTTTTAATTTTTTTGTAATTAAAATCATTAAGCTTCTTACGCATAACATTCTCAGTGTTACATTTGCTATTAAATGCTATTTTTTTAAATTTATTTGTTTATTTCAGTGATCTAAATCACGCATATGTTTGCACATCATTAACAAATTAGAAAATTGTGTATGCTATATACATATAATATTGTTACGAAATAAACCCATACGCTGCCTCGGTACGACGCCTATGGGTTTTAGTATGTACGGCGATGATGACTTATTGTAGATGACGGCGGCCGGAGAAAAGCGTGGAAGCGGAAGTCGCCATGGACAATCCAGAAAGACCTCGACTGCGGAACTTCTAGAAGGTAAGTATGGATTTAAATAGAGACCACCTTCGGGAACGATTATTATTCAGCCAGTTCAGTCCACGAGAGCAGAGTCAAATTGTATCGGATATTGTTCATTTCTTTGATTAAATCGGAAAACGTGACAAATATCAAGTCGCAATAGAAAGCCATGATTCAAATGATTTAGTGTTCGAATAGCGAATTTAAAACGAAATTCTTTCGTTGGTGGAAAAGTTGTAATTTTATGCGTAACGTTTATTAATGAAACAAATGAAAAATGTTTCCATAGCCTACCCTAATCTGAAAAGTTTTCGACCACCTATTAGTTTGGATATAACTTATAATCTACGGAATAAGGTCAGTGAAAATGAAATCGATAATGTGTTTGGGAAGCTTGGGACAGTTGCTTATCCTTACACCTTTGTGAATCATTTCCAAGTATGTTTTTGTTGAAGCTTTATTGTCGTGTTATTAGATAATTTTTTTACCTTAGATTTAAAAGTTAAAAATTTAGATGTGTTACAAAAACAACCGAAAGCTAAATATTGTAGGTAACAGCTGAGAAATATATATGCGCCCTTTGTAAATATTCTAAAAAGACAATTTTAGAATGTTCCCTGCGTAAAAGGTTGAAAATGAAAAGTTTGGGAGTGTACCTAATGAAATATTTTATTCATTAAAGAACTCCAAAAAATATACACATACCTAACATTGCAATAAGAATCTATAAAACACAAAACAGGTAGGAAAGTAATTGAATTCATTTAGGTATATGAATGATTGAACTAATTATGTTAATAACAAAAATAACATATACCTAACAATATACTATCGTATAAATCAAAAGCAGGTTGCCACGTTTCCCGAAATTGTCGTAATATAGTATTTGCCTTTTCTATTGAAACACCACTTGTTGTTCGTAAATTTGGCAACGTTCATATTCAGCCGTTGTCAATCAACTGAAAGCTGTTACCAATTGCTAAATTTTAAGTAAAATCAACAGGTGGTGTTTCAATAGAAATGGCAAAGACAATACAGGATTATGGTTATTAATACCATAGGATCGAAAACAAATCCTCTAGTACGCCACGAAATTTAAATATAAAACAATGGTGTTGGTATTGCAGTTATATGACGGTTTAGTTACCAGTTATTTGACCCCAGCTGTCAAACCGAACAACGAACACTTTAGTGTTACCAATATCTTTATTTTAAAAATTATTTACATGATCTACTAGAGGATTTTTTTGTTTGGATCATATGGTACATGTTACTGTTTTAAATTAATGTACTTCTTCTTGGCAAAAAGTTGATCACGTGGTCACAGTATTTTAATATAAAAACGTTACTTTATGTTTTTTATGCAGATGTTTTCTACATAGAGACATTAAACTAGTTACAAACAAAAAATAAAATTCATTCTATTTCACTGTAATACACATTTTTGTAACTGTCCATTGCCGAGGCAGTTTGTTTAGAGGAAGCATCAATTATTTGGATTTACATATTCTTTGTCTCTACTTTACTACTTGTTATGAAATGTATTTGGGAAACAATGGTAGAAGCTGCAAGAAAAGAAGCTCGATTAGCAGTAGAATGTGGTGATGTCAATGAAAATGGAATACCGATATTGCTATAACAGCAGACGGTGCGTGGAGTAAGAGGTCCTACCGTACAAATTATAACGCGTCTTCAGGGGTTGCATCAATTATTGGAATAAAAACAAAAAAAATATTGTTTGCAGGGTTACGTAATAAATATTGCACAATTTGCGAAAGATCAATAAATGACACTTTGAAAATAAATCACATATGTTTTAAAAATTATAAAGGTACTTCTACCGCTATGGAAGCAGACGTTATTTTAGAAGGGTTTAGGAAATCAGTTGCTTTGTATGGCCTAATTAATGGCAAAATAATAGCCGACGGAGACAGTAGTGCCTACCATAAATTCCTGTCATCATCTCCGTATGGCCCACAATTTCATATTCAAAAAATTGAATGTAAAAATCATATTATTCGCAATTACGTATCTAAATTAACGGAACTAAAAACTAATACCAAATATATGAAAAAGCAACGAGACATTCTAAGCGCTAAAATAGAAAAGTTGCGCATGGCGGTGAACACATCTATTTCATTTTGGACAGAAAATAAAACTCATTTATTCGAAGAGAGAGTACTAATGTTACAAAAAGAAATCGAAAATGGTCCCAAGCATACTTTTGGAGATAACACTTTTTGTAATATTAGTGAACATTCTTTTTGTACTGAAGAATCTTTAAAAAAAAGTGGAGGCTGGAGAACAAAATCTTGTCCCACTGTTGATGGATAATGGATTTTTTGATCAATTTTTCTTTAAAGGGTGGCTATACGACCAGGTGCAGCCTTATCGTACAATACCGAAAAAGGTATATCATGAAACAATCCAACAAAAGTTAACAAAAAACGGCCCTGGTTTAATAACAAAAAAATATTGTTCGTCTATCAAACAAGCTCGTCTTAGAACAAGTATTGGTAAAAAAATATGTCGTAAAAAATGTACGTATGCTGGTCCCGACTGCGATTATGGTTTAAATATTTTAGATAATCCTGACATGGATATGCATAGAAACATTTGTGACAGCCAAAGAGGTTTTTTTGAGAAAATTATCTTTGAATTTAGACCAAATTGCAATAGACACTAGGCAACAGGCACTGTCTAACACTCGAGCCAAAGAAAGAAAAGTTAGGGTTACGGCTTCAAATTTTGGACGGATTTAAAAACTTAGACCGACTACAGCAACAGCTAAAACTGTGGAATCTCTGTTGTACAGTACATTTAAAGGTAATAGTCATACATACTATGGACAACAATGTGAGGAAAAAGCTGTCAAGTGTTTTGAAATAAATAAAAGTATAAAAACTGAACGGTGTGGCTTGTTTATTTCAAAACAATTTCCTTACTTGGCTGCTAGTCTAGACAGGGTTCTAGAGGATAGGAGTGCATTAGTCGAAATTAAATGCCCTTCAAAATCGCAAGATTTGTCTCCCGAAGAAGCGGTTAGAAAAAAAAAATCAAATTTTGTACATTGACAGACAGAGAATTGAAACTAAAAAAAAATCATGATTACTACTTTCAAGTCCAGGGACAAATGCTTGTTACGGGTATTTCACAAGTTTATTTTGTTGTGTGGACACCCAAAGGGATAAATATAGAAAAAATTTATAAAGACGAAGAAATATGTAAAAAGATGGCAGATAAACTTGGCAGATTTTACTTTGGCGCATTATTGCCCGAAATAATTGATTCAAGAAGAAAGAGGAACCTGCCTTTGCAAGAAATTTTTTTAAAATAAATAAAATTTGTTCCTATTTTTTTATGTACTTTAATAATTTATTAGGAGTACATTTTTCATCACCAAGACTTGCATATTTTTATTATAAATATATTTTGAAAATGATCTCTCGGCAAATGAAAACATATACGAGCACTTTTTTCGAGTAAACAATGAAGGGAGAAGTTACTGGACGTAGGGCTTTTTTAAAACACCTCCTTTCTGGGATAAGTAGAAGATACACTTAGCTACTTATAGGTATTAAACAAAAGCTGTATTTTATATATTTTTTATTATTATTATAAATATGTTTATTACTTTTATTAATTAAGAAAGCAAAATATAAAATATATTAACAATAAAATTACAATGAATTCTTAGTCATCATGTGTATTGAATTCAGGATCCTGAGTAGAGTAAAAATATTATAGTTCCCCAGTTTTAATTCGGTACCTCATTGCGTAAAAGTTAAATTCCTTAACAATAGATTACTACGGCCGGTCCTGGCGGCTGGTGATAAAACTGAGTTCCTTGCCATAAATTAGAAAAATCAACCGAGAACTCTAACAATCAGCTTATGCATGGTAGAGCAGGCGATAAGGGTTTTGCCTGGAAAATCGCTTCCGTAAATTTTAGTGGCGCTCTTATCGACAAAAGTACTGAACTAACGGCTCAAATTCTGTCAAATTGATACCCATTTTTTTCAATAATTGTTAGTTTTTGTTAAAAACTCTGCTAAGCAATAGATCAGTAATTTTCCTCTGGTATTCCTGTTAAAATTATGCGACGTATTTTACTTTAATTTGTGGTATATTTTGATTTTAATAAATACATTATTATTTAAATAAATTGTACCATTAATAAACATTTAATGACTCTGCGGCCTGTAAAAAGTGATGCTTTGTCCATGTGCGAATTTTCAAGCGATTCTATGATGGTTATGACTCAAAAAACTTGAAAAGAAAACATATAATGGTGCCTTTT